GCACGCCGGCCGTGGCGGCCATTGGAGGGTGAACCAACGGCAAAGGAAGACCTTTCTCTCTGTCTCTCTCTCTCACTGTCCACTCTGTCAAAAAAAAAAAAAATTCTTCAAAACATAAAATTCTGATGATATCAAATGTTAGCAAGGATGCAAAGCAAACACTGCCAATGGAAATGTAAATTGGTATAACTAGTTTGGATTCACCTAGTAAAATCAAATTTACACTCCTTTGTACTCAGCAATTCCACTCCTGGATTAACAAAATTCATGCAACATTATGTGTAGTAGCCAAAAACAAGAAGCTGATATATTCATTAATTGTACAATGGTAAGCAACCAGTGATATAATCATTAAATACTCTGCAACAATGAAAATGAACTACCTACAGCTCTAGCTGATAACAAATGTCACAAACATAAAGCTAGTTTTAATAGAAGATATATGTGTATGATCCCATTCATCTAAAGTTCAAGTACTCACAAAACTAAAGTTTATAATATTTAGGGTTAAGGGGCTCACACTATGGTGTAGCAGGTATTTCCGCCACCTGCAGCACTAGCATCCCATATGGGCACTGGTAAATCAGCAGATGTAAGATTTCTCTGCCTCTGCCTGTCTCCCTGTCTCTCTCTCTGTCTCTGACTCTGTAACTCTGCGTTTTCTTTTTTTTTTTTTTCCCAAGATTTTATTTATTTATTTGAGAGGCAGAGTTACAGAGAGAGAGGGAAGACAGAAAGGTCTTCCATTCACTGGTTCACTCCCCAAACGGCCGCAACAGCTGGAGCTGGGCTGATCCAAAGCCAGGAGCCAGAAGCTTCAGAATTCTGGCTCTCCGATGTGGGTGCAGGGGCCCAACCACTTGGGCCATCTTCAACTGCTTTCCCAGGCCATAGCAGAGAGCAGAATTGGAAGAGGTGCAACCAGAACTGGAACTGCCTGGCAGCGTAGCCAGAGGCTTAGTCCACTACACCACAGCGCTGGCCCCAATAACTCTGCCTTTCAAATAAATAAATTTTTTTAAATGTAGGGTTAAATACTAGATGATAAACTATACAAAAAAGCAAATGAATGACTAACTTAAGGATAGAATAGTGGTCTACTTTAGGGAGAGCAGAGATAAGATTCAGAAAGGAGGCAAAATTTCTCAATCCTGATGACTGATAATACAAATTTACTTTAACTGCTAAATGTACATATATGCTCCTATATTTTTCAATACAATGATCATACATTTCACCAATTTTTTTTTTTTTTTTTTGGACAGGCAGAGTGGACAGTGAGAGAGAGAGACAGAAAGAAAGGTCTCCCTTTGCCATTGGTTCACCCTCCAATGGCTGCCACGGCTGGCGCATCGCGCTGATCCAAAGCCAGGAGCCAGGTGCTTCTCCTGGTCTCCCATGCAAGTAACAGGGCCCAAGCACTTGGGCCATCCTCCACTGCACTCCCAGGCCACAGCAGAGAGCTGGCCTGGAAGAGGGGCAACCGGGACAGAATCTGGTGCCCCGACCGGGACTAGAACCCAGTGTGCCGGTGCCGCAAGACGGAGGATTAGCCTAGTGAGCCGTGGCATCAGCCACATTTCACCATTTCTTAAAAGGCATACACTCATCAGTTGTCAAAAAAGAACCATCTGGGGCCAGCACCGAGGCTCACTTGGTTAATCCTCTGCCTGCGGCGCCAGCATCCCACATGGGCGCTGGTTCTAGTCCCGGTTGCTCCTCTTCCAGTCCAGTCTCTGCTGTGGTCCGGGAAGGCAGTGGAGGATGGCCCAAGTGCTTGGGCGCCTGCACCCACGTGGGAGACCAGGAAAAGCTTCTGGCTTGGATTGGCGTAGCTCCGGCCGTAGCGGCCATTTGGGGGGTGAACCAACAGAAGGAAGAACTTTCTCTCTGTAGTCCCTCTCTCTAACTCTGTCAAATTAAAAAAAAAAAAAAAAAAGAAAGAAAGAAAACCATCTGTTGGGGCGGCGCCATGGCTCATTTGGTTAATCCCTGCCTGTGGCGCCGGCATCACATATGGGCGCCGGTTCTAGTCCCAGTTGCTCCTCTTCCAGTCCAGCTCTCTGCTGTGGCCTGGGAAGGCAGTGGAGGATGGCCCAAGTGTTTGGGCCCCTGCAACCACATGGGAGACCAGGAAGAAGCACCTAGTGCCGGCCGTGGCGGCCATTTGGGGAGTGAACCAACAGAAAGAAGACCTTTCTGTCTGTCTCTGTCTATAACTGTACCTGTCAAATTAAAAAAAAAAAAAATCTGCATCCAACACACAACCTAGAGTTCAGCTTCAACTGGTTTAACAGAAAACATCAGCTGTCCAAAAATGCAATTCATTAAATAATTTTATGTCATTCCCTTTTTTCTGTTAAAAACAGAAATCCAAAAATAGAAAATTGTGAGGGATATTCCATAGCTTCATATATATGTTAAATAATACCATATTAAACAGAAAACAAAAGTAAAATAGCAAAGATTTTTCAGGCAAGGAAGTAATTATGTTAGAGATGTATTTATAATGTTGGACTAAGAGGAAGGAATACAACTGTGCTGGAAAAATGAATACCTATTTACAATGTAATCTTTGTGAGTTACCAATTTCCACAAACAAATGATTAGAAGTTTAGAAGTAGTTTTCTACTGCATACTACTACATAAAATGTTAAAGTTTGATAACTTTTCCCCACATAGAAAGAAGTCAGTAACTTTATAATTTCTAGGGAATCTTGAAAAGCAAAAATTTAGAGGCAAAGTTTTTAGGCCCAAATAGGTCAGATAAGTATAAAGTTTAAGTTTTCTTTTAAAAAAATTTTTTACACTCTATTCCTTAGAAGCCTGGAGTAATGAAATGAAAAAAGATGCAAGGAACTCAGATTCTTGAAATATCATCCTAAAACACAGTCAGTAAGCCCACAGAAATTATCCCTGAAACAATTAGTGTTTAACCACATGAAGTTGTTAATTTTCAGAAAACTTTCCATTTTTACCATAGACATTAACTTTGCAGAAACGGTCACTACAGAATAAACCACAGAAGTACTGATAGCTCACACAACCTGCCCCTGCCATGGGAAACTAAGGAAATGGTTTCCTGTTTAGTACCTTTTCCTGTCCCATCCCATATTTTACTTCTATGAATTCCAAATGTTAACAGTAACGTCTACCACTTATTAAGCCCTTTCTGTGTGACTTATATTTATTATCTCCTTTAATCCTAACATACTGAGTGGCAGGCCTTACTGATGAGGACAGTCAGGCATAGAACTTGTCAGTAACCTGCCCAAGGTCACACACTACTATGGAGAGAGGGAGCTGAGAAATGTTGACTCAAGAGCCACTGCCCTTAATACTCAGCTGTTTATATTTGATAAAACAACATATTTGCACCATGAAAACATGAAATCACCTGCTGCTTTCAAACTACAGGATGCCAGATGCCTTGAGGATTTGTTTTGCCTTTCCCAGCTAACTGCATACTCACGGAACGTTAATAGGTTAAGGGGTCTAAACAAACATTTAGGAAAACTTGGAACTTCACAGCCAAGAAAACAAAGGGGCAGAGAAGCTAAGTGACAGCCAACACTAACACACAACTCGACTCCCAGAAGAGATCTTCGCTCTGCACTAAAAGCCCTTCCTACACACATCTCACACAGTAAGCTCTTGCTGAAACCATACCCAGCCGTCCACCCAAACACTGAGGCCCACTTTGCAGACAAGAACTTCAATAGCATTCACATGAGAACAATCTTGCACTTCAACAGAGATATGCTATGTGCTAAGGCAATGGTTAAACCCAGATGAACATCATAATGCTTTCGTTACAGAAATACAAACACACTAACTATAATGCGACAATTATGAACAATGTGTCTTGAAAGCACATAGAGAGGAGAGCGCATAAGGAACAAGATGCATTTGTGGCAGAGTAAAGTCAAAGGTAATGCTGCTTACAAAGCAAGGAAAATGCTGCCACTTCTACCAATTGATGTTAAAGTAAAAATATATATATAAATGAAGTCAGAAGATCTGAGTTCAAGTCAAAACTTGACTTGTATGAACAACTTGTTAATCTCAGTGTCCTCAGATGTGAAAGGTGGCTACTACTACTGACCTGTCCACCTCACCAGATTTTTGGAAAAGTCAATTACCTGAAAGTACTTAACAAACGGCAAACTTCCTATAAAAAAAAAACCAAGTTACTTATTTATGTTTTCACTTCTAGGCAACACTGTTGGTCCTTCCCCTAAACTGTGTCTCATAAAAGCCTTACCCTTCAAGATGAAAATATTCCAATGACATCACTCAAATGCTCCTTAGCAGACAGTAAACGGTTCACATGAATGCCTTCAGGTTAAAATGCCAAATCTTTCTATAGAAATAATATGTATACATACAATGCTTTATCCTTAGGCTTTGGTATTGACATCCAGTCAAAGCTTACTATAATTATATTTAGAAACTAGCACCAGATGCAAGTTTTCTCTTCTGGAAATTTTCTAAGAGATTCCATTCCATTTTATGCGATGTTGTCAAGCAACCACTCAAGGACAGACCAAGTAGCTATCACCTGGCTCTGATCCCAGGAGATGGGCTATATACTAGCTATAGCTACAGCCTAATGTATGCCCTGGACCCTAAAAAGAGAAATGCAAACAGGAACCAAACAAAAATCCACTAAAAAAGGTAACGAGTGTCCCACTGTAAGATCATTGGAGGCCCCTGGCCAGACCCCTCCTGTAAATTACGGAACTCTCATTTCCTTGGAGTTTGACAGAGAAGCAGGAATAACCCGGTCCCCTCGATAAACTCCATCCAAGCCCCATTCTGTTGAATCCTCAAGCCCCCGGTCTAAGCGACTCCTTGGATGGTCGGCTAAAGAAAGTTCCAGCGCCTGGCCGCGAAGTCAAAAAGGAGGCAGGAAAGGGTCGCCGCAGCGTGAAGCCCCCGTGCCCCTGGGCCAGCGGCTGCTCTATCTCCCAGGCCACTTCCCGTCGTCTCCCTCTTACCTTGTACACTTTCCCGAAGGCTCCGTCGCCCAGCTCGCCTATGATTTCCCAAAACTCCTCGGGGTTCAGGTCCCTCTTCACGTGCTCGTACTGCTTCTTCTTCTTCTCGCTCCCCAACTTGAAGATCTTACGGAAATTGAAGAAGGACATTTTTCCTCCCCCACAGAGTTCCTTGCACTTAAGGACTAGAAACAACAATAAAAGGCAAAGTTTCTCCGCCTCCTTCTCCGCGCGAGCCCGGCGGACGGGCGGCGGCGCGGGGTCTCCGGCTCCCGCGGCTCCGGCCGGGCCGTCCCCGGAGAGGGCGGGGCAGCGCCCGGGGCTCCGGCCCGCGGCGAGGGGGGGCGCCCTGCGCCGAGCCCGGCTCGCCCGCCCGCCCGCCGCGCGATGGGGCGCCTGGCCCCCGGCCGGCCCGCGGGGGCTGCACCTGTGCGGACGCCCGTCCACCCGGTCCCGGCCCGGCCCGACGGCGCCCGGCGGGTCTGCACGCCCGCAGCCGCGGCGGCTTAGGCCCGTGTCACGACGAGTCTCCAGGGGCGGCGGCCACTCGGGGCGAGGGAAGCGGCCGGCAGCCGCTGAGACGAGCGCGCGAGAGGCCAAGCTCCCCGGCCGCGGGCAGCGAGCCTCGGGCCTCCTTCGCAGCCGTCTCTATTCCTGCGGCGCGAGGCCCGCGCGTCCCCTCAGCTCTGGGGCGCCGCCACCTCCGCCTCGCTCCCTCCCCAGCCCACACAGCCGCGGCCTGGAGCGCGCGCCGACGCCGACGCCGACTCCGCAGCGTGCCCGCGCGTTCCCCCGCCGCGCGCCCGCGCAGGGGCGGCCCCTTGAGCCCCGCGCACGCGCGTTGGCCCGCGCAGGCTGGCGGCGCCGAAGGGCTGGCGAGCCGAGTGCGGCGGGCCCTGGTTCCCTGCGGTCCCCCGAGGCGGGCCCGGCGCTGGCCCTGCGAACCCCGGATCCTCGTCAGCCTCTGGCTTTGTTCGTAGTGGCCCCCGCGTTGCGACGCTGGCGGATGTTGCCTCGGTGCTGGATGTGGGAAAAACTGTCAAGAATGAAAGCTCAGGCTTCCTGAGTGGAGCCGGGAAGTGGGCTTTGTTTTTAGCTCTTAAATTGATTCCAGAGGATAGTGAGAGGAGAGTGTGGGTGGCGCTGTGAGCCTTGGCTTGGGAGCCGGAGCCCTGTGGCCTGGAGCAGGTGACGCCCCCTTGCCTCAGTTTCCTCACGGCGCCTGCCTGGAGGTGGCAGCGAGGGCTCAGTGAGGCACCGGCACACGCTCGTGGTCTCACAGCTGACACGGACCTAGAACAGTTGCTCGAGCCCACTGCTCCAGGGATGTCTGGGGGGGCTCTCCGCCGCCCGCCCGATGGCACTTCCAGCCTGGGACGGTGCTGCCCGGCTGGGGCCGTACGGGCGTCGGCTGCAATCGGCCAGAAGGTGACCTGCCCTCCTCGCCTCCGGTCGCACTTTCGGGGCAGTGGCTGCTTGTTCAGCAAGGTGACCGAGTCGCGGGAGACGTCCTGGCGTGGGAGAGGCAGACGGGTCTGGCCGATGCGTGAGTGGAGGTATCCAGCAAGGCAGGGTTGCTGCTGTTTATATAATACCCACCTACCACCCCTCCCCGACCATTTTACCCTCCAGCCCCTACATGTTACAGCAAAACCCCTCTTCCAGGAGGAAGCTTAATATGATTCGGTTTCTCATGATCCTTCTACTTTTTAAGTTTTTATTAAGGTATAATTGATATACAATAGGCTGTACATTTGTGCACACACGTGAAAGCAATATTAATCTGCTTTAGTTGGTATCATTTATGAAGAAAATAGAGAAATGCAAAAAAGAAATCAAATACAAGAGTAGTGGAATTCCACCGTCCAGAGGTAGCCATTGGAAAGAGTTCATTAAATTTCCAAACAGGTTTTTTTGGCCATGCTTTTTTTTTTTACATGAATGAGATTACTTTTCAGATTCCAGTACAATTAGTAATTATTCTCTCTTGCATCATGAGATATTTATAATCTTTATTTTAAATAAAACATTAATAAATATCTTTGCATACAAAATCCTTTTATACATGCTTGATTATTTCCTTGAGATAAATCACCAGAAAGAGATTTGGGCCAAAGGGTGTATGTCTGTTTCCTTTTTTGTTCTTTTCAAAATAGAAAAGACTACTATGTTCTCATGTTGAAAGATTGTGTATCAGGACTGGTGCTGTGGCACAACAGGTTAAGCCATCATTTGCAGCACCAGCACCCCATATGGGCACTGCTTTGAGACCCAATTATTCCATTTCTGATCAAGCTTCTTGCTAATGTGCCCAGGAAAGCAGCGGAAAATGACTCACGTCCTTGGGTCCCAGCACCCACAAGGGAAACCCAGATGACATTCCTGGTTCCTGACTTCAGCCTGGCCCAGCCCTGGTCATTGGGCCATTTGGGGAGTGAACCAGCAGATGGGAGATCTTTCTCCTCGACTTTCAAATAAATGGATAAATCTTAAAAAAAAAAAAAAAAAAAAGATTGTGTATCATTGTTGTTAATAATTCAGATACAGGAATTACAAACTCAGAAACTGTAATTTTCCTCTCCTGCCTTGCCCCCACTCAAATTCACCCCCAACCTAACCATTGTTAATAGTCAGGCCTGTACAATGGACATGTTTATGACATTGATGATTTCATGAATGAATACCATTTCCAAACGCATCAAACTGTATGCAAGAAATATAGACAGCTGTCTGTATATCAACCCTGCTTAGAGTTGTCATTAAGTCACTAGCAGTAGCCAGCATTATAGGGCAGTGGTTAAGCTACCACCTGGGATATCAGGACCAGTCTCTTGTATGAGTGCCAGCTCAAATCCAAGTTCCTCCACTTCTGATCTAGCTCCCTGCTACTGTGCCCAGAGAAAGCAGTGGAAGATGATGCAAGTACCTGGACCCCTGCCACCTACCTGGGAGAACAGGATGGAGTTCCTGGCTGCTGGCTCCCAGCTGCAGCCTGGCTCAGCCATAGCTATTGAAGCTGATGTGAGTGAATCAGTGGATGGAAGATCTCTCTCTCTCTCTCTTTCTTTGTAACTCTGCCTTTCAAAATAAATAAATCTTATTTTTAAAAAGTCACTAGCAAGGCACAGTTAAATTGATACCATTAATAAATAGTCTCAGCTTTTTTCATATATTATGGAAACAAATGAATCTCAGAAAAGGTGCCCCTTTTAATAAAATAATAAATTTGGCATCATTCTTAGGCATTTAAAATTAACAGAAAAGTGATCTCTGTTAAACAAAGGAGTGGGAATAAGAGAGGGAGGAGATATATAGGTCGGCACATGCTCACTCAGACTTACCTCCAATGGTGGAACTAGAAATGTGCCAGGGGATTTCAACTCAATCTTACCAAGGAGGCAGGTACCAATGCCAGCGCACTTGGTAAAGTGATAAGTATAAATACACAACCGATCAAAAAGATAGGGTAAGTGTTGAAGAGATTTCACAAATAAGACCAGTGTAAGCAAATAATGAAGGATAGAATTAAAAGGGAGAGAATGATCCTGCGGGGGAAGCAGGACACACAGCAGACTCATAGAATGGCAAACGCCCAAAACAGCACTTGGCCTCAGAATCAACCCTTGGGACATTTGGATCTAGCTAAAAGATCCATAAGAGTCTCACAGGCATGGGAAGCCATGACATGGTGGCAAAAAACAATCTAAATGAAAGATCCTGGTGAACAAGACCCCAGCAGAAGGAATAGGCCATCAAGGAGGGAGTCACCTTTCTCTGAAGGGAGGAAGGAACCTCCACTGTGATACGGCCTTGACTAAACAAATTCAGAGTTGGTGAACTCAAGGGGCTTCCACAGCCTAGACAGCTCATAGCAAGAGCCTCGGGTGATGGCTGACATCATAAATAAGAGTGCCAATTGTTAAATCAACAACGGGAGTCACTGAGTACAGGCTCCCCACGTAGGATCTCTGTCCTTAATGTGTTTTACTATGAAACTTAAAAACAACACTACTAGTCGAACAATACCCTATACCTTGTGCGGTTGTGTGAGGGCAGCCTGTTGAAATCCTTGCTTAGTATATACTAAGTTGATCTTCAGTATATGAAGGTAATTGAAAATGAAACTCGATGAAGGGTGGGATGGGAGAGGGAGTGGGAGAGGGGAGGGCCGCAGGAGGGAGGGAGGTTGGGGGGGGGGGGCCACAACAATACAAAAGTTGCACTTTGTAAATTCACATTTATTAAATAATATATATATAAAGTGGAAAAAATAATAAATTTGGCAAAAAAATTAACCCTATGAGTACAAGGGAAAATTGGGGGGTAATAAAAAATTCTGAAAATGGATTGTGGTGATGGTTGTACAACTGTAAGAACTCACTAAAAATCATTGGATTGTAATTTACAAGGGTGAATTTTATGGAATGTAAATTGTACCTCAATAAATATTTTAAAGCTAAGCTTTTCCATGTATAAAATTTTTTAAAAAATAAAAATGGGAACTGGCATTTGGCATCACCATTTGGATACCACTTGGGATTCCCACATCCCATATCCTGTTGCCTCTGGCTGCCTATTCCAGCTTCCTGCCAGTGCACACCCCCTGGGAAGTGGCAGATGAAGGCTCAAGTACTTGGGACCCTGCCATCCCCATGGGAAACCTGAATTGAGTTCCAGATACCTGGCAAATGCCTGACCAAGCCCCAGCCTTTATGGGATTTGGGGAGTAAACTGGCAGATGGAAAATCTCTCCATGTCTGTTTTTCTGTCTCTGCCTTTTGAATGATTTTTTAAAGTTTAATTAAAAATAAAAAGGAACAGAGTGGATAGTGAGAGAGAGAGAGACAGAGAGAAAGGTCTTCCTTTTGCCGTTGGTTCACCCTCCAATGGCTGCCATGGCTGGCGCGCTGCAGTCAACACACCACGTTGATCCGAAGGCAGGAGCCAGGTGCTTCTCCTGGTCTCCCATGCAAGTAACAGGGCCCAAGCACTTGGGCCATCCTCCACTGCACTCCCAGGCCACAGCAGAGAGCTGGCCTGGAAGAGGGGCAACCGGGACAGAATCCGGCGCCCCGACCGGGACTAGAACCCAGTGTGCCAGCGCCGCAAGGTGGAGGATTAGCCTATTGAGCCGCGGCGCCGGCCTGTCTAACCCTTTTAATAGCTGCATAGAATTCCAGTGTCTAGCTGTATCATAGTTCATTTAAGCATTTCTCTAGCAGTAAGCTTCTAGGTAATTTCCAACTTTACATCATTACAAATAACATCACAGTTGAACATGCCTATGTGGCCATCTTTATGTATTTGCATGATTGTGTTTCCTGAAGATGCTGTTGATGAAGTGGGATTGATGAGTCAAGACTACATTAGGGGCTGCCACCCGAAGTTCTGACTTCCCATATGGGTGCTGGTTTGATTCCCAGCTGCTCCACTTCTGATCCAGCTCTCTGCTATAGCCTGGGAAAGCAGTAGAGGATGGCCCAAGTCCTTGGGCCCCTGCACCCACGTGGGAGACCCAGCAGTAGCTCCTGGCTCTTGGCTTCGGATTGGCACAGCTCCAGCTGTTGCAGCCATTTGAGGATGAAAAATCTCTCTTTCTCTCTCTCCCTCCTTCTCTCTCTCTATAACTCTGACTTTCAAATAAATAAATAAATAATTTTTAAGAGACTATATTAAAAAGTTTTTTTTTTTACCTGTACTGGCCTCTAAAAGGATACCAATTTATTTTCTAGCAGCAATGTATGAGAGCGCCAATTTCACCACTGCTTCAACAGCACCAA